TTTACTTAATTACCATCACTATTCCTCCTTTCCCACCCAGTCCACTATCCCTTCAACTCTCTGGCTCTGTTGTAGCCATGAGTGCCATCCTCCCCCCTCTATGCTGTCTCCTCCTCCCCCCCACCCGCCATGGGCTGACAATGCCCCGCTGACTTATCGCTCGCTCTCAGTCTTGTTGTGCGCATCTGGCTGGCGCCCCCGAGCTTACCATCGCCCAACATGTCCCCTCTCCTGTCCGATATTCTTTACAACTCCTTTCCCTTCTTGCTCCACATCTGCTGACTTCTCCCTCCTCTCCTCACCTCTCACAACCTTTCCTTCAATATCAACTCAGCCATTCACATCCATGGCTGCCGTTTGACCTGGTGATCACTCTGGGCCTTACTATCTCTGATGTCACCATCACTGACAAAGACATTTCAGATCACTGTTTCATCTCCCTAAACTCCTCCATCCCCCTCCCTGCCACCCACCCCATTTGCATCTCCTATTGCCACTGGAGAAAAGATCCTCATCCATGCCCTCTCCGCTGCCCTGCAGGCATCTGAACTCCTATCCCTTTGGCCCTCATCTTTCAATGACCTACCCTCCTTGGTCACCCTCCTAAACGACTCCCTCTTGGCCATCCTTGATACGCTTGCCCCCATCAAATCCCGCACTGCCTCCTACTCGCACAAATCCCCCAGTATACCAGCCACCTCCACGCCCTCAAATCTCAGGTGCACTCCGCCAAACCAGCTGGCGCAAATCCAAATTAACGGTTCACCATCAGATCTGGCAGAACTGCACCAAGACCTACCGCTCTACCCTCACCTCAGCTAAGTCATCCTTTTATTCCAAAATCATCTTGAAAGCTAAGGACAATCCCAGACTCCTCTGTTCTACCATAAACCAATTCCGCCATCCACCATGCCGCTGCCATCCTCTCCTCCCAACACCAAATGTGAGAGCATGATGGATTTCCTCAAGCCCAAAGGGGGGATCCGCTCTGTCGCCTCTAGTCCCTCTACTGGGACCCCCCACCTCCTGCTCCCCTTCCAGCCTACCCCTATCCCTCCCTCGACACTTTTGATCCTGTCTCCCCCTCTTTGCTCACCTCCCATCATTTCCCATATGAAACCCACCACCTGCTCCCTTAACCCCATCCCTAACCCTCTTCTCACCTCCCAGCTTCACCTCCTTGCCCCCCTAGAACAGAACTCGTTAACCTCTCCCTGTCCACTGGCACTGTACTAATCCCCCTAAAGACAGCCATCATCACCCCTACCCTCAAAAAATCTTCCCTTGACCCATCTCTGCTCTCCAACTACCGCCACATTTCATACCTTTCTTTTCTATCAAAGAGCATGGAACGAGTCATCACTTCCTAGCTTCGCTCTTTCCTATCCCAGCATTCTCTCCATGAACCCCTCCAATCAGGGTTTTATGCTGCCCACAGCCCAGCGACAGCCCTGGTCAAAGTGATAAATGACATTCTGTCCACCTGCAACCAGGGCTCCCTCTGTCTCCTCGTCCTTCTCAACTTCTCGGCCACTTTCAATACCGTTGACCACTCTTCTCCACCTCCTCTCACCTCCACCTTAACGGTTCTGTTCTCGCTTGGTTCCAATCCTACCTTTCCCACCTTCTGCACTGTGTGGCTACCAACAGCTTCTCCTCTAGCCCCCGCACTGTCACTGTCACATCAGGGCTCTGTCCTCGGCCCCCTCCTCTTCATACACGCTCCCACTCGGCGATGTCATCCACAGGCATGGAGTCAATTTCCACATGCATGCGGGTGACACCCAACTCTATCGCGCTGCCTCCACCCTCGACTCCAGGACCGTTGATGTCCTGGCTAATTATCTCTCTGATGTCAAGTCCTGGATGAGAGCCAACTTCCTCCCAACGCCTCCTCACCTCAACCTCTGATACTATCACCATTCATGGCTGCACTCTTCACCTCACTGAGCCAATCTGATGTACTTTTGACCCTCATATATTCTTCAAACCCCACATTTGTACTGTGACCTGTTCCGTCTTTTCACACCTCCACAACATTGCCCGACTCCGACAATGTCTCTCACCGCAGGCCATCGAGATCCTGATCCACACTGTCATAACGTCCCGGCTTGACTACACCAACTACCTGCTCGCTAGACGTCCTAACTCTTCCCTCCACAAGCTGCAGATTATTCAGAACTCTGCATCTACACCAGACTCCGGGAACCTATCACCCCCGTTTTTGCCCGGCTTTGCTGGGTCCCCATTCCTTAGAGAATTGAGTACAAAACCCTCATTCTTACTCACAAGGCCCTCCATGATCTTGCTCCCCACTCCCTCTCCAACCTCATAACCCCATATCAGTCTGTCTGCTCTTTCTGCTCAGCGGACACTGGCCTGCTTCAGGTCCCCTGCACTTCCCGCCCCACCATTGGCGGTCGGCAGTCAAGAAAGGGGGTGAGGCGGTCGGCAATTGCGGGATAGAGTTCCAGAATGTTGGGACAGAGACGCTGGCAGTTCAGCATCGCTGCCCCAACATTCTGGAACTCTATCCCGCAATCCCTCCACCTCATCCCTCCTTCAAGTCCTGCCTGAAGACCTTACTCTTCGATCATGCTTTTGACCACCCTCCAGCCCCAACCCCCACAGTCTTCCTCGCCTTCTAACCCCAATTCCCAGCTCGGGTCCAAAACCCCTGATTGTCCAGAGCCCTGGGATGTCTTTCCGACATGAAGGGTGCTATACAAGTGGTACATGGTACAAAATGTAACATCCTACATTGTTTCCAATAGAGCACCTTGATTCATTCGTTTCAGCATGTAGGTATCACTTGTCCTTGACATCCTAGTATGCAAATAGCTAATGGATGGCCTGATAACCTGATGCATTAAACCATGTTCATTTTAAGTAAACCATGTTTAAACTGTGTTCATTTTAAGAGTCCCAAGATGCTGCCCTGTGTGAAGGGCACTATATAAATGTTGTTATAACGGTGTTAAAAATAAATCGTGAAAAAATCAGCATCATCTAAAATGCTGCATTAGTTGGCTGGAAAAAAGCAGTAACTTAAAGAAATAGTGAATGATCATTTGTGTTCCACACCAGGAAACCTAGTTTTGGAATCTTACCAAAAGATCAGTAATGTTATATGTTTTTGTATATTTTTATTTCCTATGACCTTTACAAAATGTAACTGCAGAACAATTTGGGATCAGGGTATAAATATAAGTTCTTATGAATATGTAAAAACATTTTTCACTCTCTTTCTCAATGTCATCCATTCATTCATTGATATTTTTTTTATCACCTGTGAAATTCCACCAAAGTTCTAAAATATTTTGTTTTAAAAGTGTAAGATGGCTCAATATTGTGGAAACTTCTTAAATTTAATCTTAATCTTAATTCACAATTCTGAAAAAGAACTGGCTGACAAATTAAAATTTGTATTTTAGAATTTTCTCTGTGAGAGAAAAAANGTTCTTGCAGCCTAATACTAGTTGGTATTTCAGGTCTCAGCAGTGTCTTATAAGGTAGTGAAAATTGTTGGATTGTTAAATAAATCCAATCCTATGCATTAAAACAACTTTCTGCATTCATAGTTGATCTGAATTGCACGATAACTGAAGTTTTGGTGTAATACAGGTACAAAATTATCATTTGAAAAACAGTATTCCTTCCATTGTTATGCTGCTGAATATTATGGAAGAATAAATGCTAGAAAGTATGGAAATAACATACAGCTTTCTTAATAATAATAATAATCCTTGCGTTTGATGTAGCACCTACCGCGTTGTCGAGATGTCCCAAAGAGCTTCACAGGAATTACTGTAATTTATATTTGTGGGTTTATATTATATGTGTGTGTGTGTGTATGCATAAATTTCTCTGAATAAACAAACTTCTGTATCTTAGTGCATTAGTTTAATATAGAAACACTGTGGCCCGTTTTTAAACTACATTCTTGCTTAACAAGCACTCTTTTAATGTACCACATACTTTTACTCTGACTGCAATTTCAGTTTGAAATCGACCTGGAATGTTCATGTCTGCTCAAGCTGTATTTCTCTGCAAGGCAATTGTGATCTTAACCCTTGCCCTACTGAATAAACAGGAACTCTGTACGGTTAGCACAACAAATGCTGTGACTAGCACTTTAAGGGTTTTAATTAGTTGTAGTAATTGAGCTCTGGAACTGGGTTCTGTTGTTCGAAAGGCAGGAACTGTTCTAAAATGCTGAGTGGATGCAAACCAGACGCCTGTTGTCTGCTCGGGTCAGTGTTCATTTTTTGATGCAACGAATAGCAGGAAATTAGGAAAATCTGGCAAAATTCCATGGTCTAAACTAAGTTGTTCCATGTAAACCTCCCTTTACTGCAGCCAAAGGATATTCAGTTTGCTTTAAACAAGATGAATGTGTTTTTCTTGGTCTGGCGTATTTAAACTACAAATCTACGATAAGTGCTTGCATTTAATTCATGATAAAGTAGCTCTACTGTAAGTACTTATATTTAATTGAGATCTATCAGCGATGAAGTGTTCATTTATTAGATCAACGATCTAGTTAATTTTCTGAGATTGTTTAATTCGATAAAGACCATTTTTATATCCGGGGGAAAAAAAGCTGCGTTGCTGTCAATATGATAATTTCATCATCATGTCAATTGGGAAATCTCACAGCCTTTCTAATTTCTTATTTGAATTCAGCATGTTAAATGTCAAATTGTTTTACATTTACAACTCACATTAATGTTTTGTTGATTGAATTCATTGTTCCTGGCAATCTGTCGCCCTTGACAACCGAAGAAACTTGCTTCTAACAGTTTTAACAGGTTAACTTGCCTTCTGGTCCCTGATACTCACAGCCTGTGTAACACTTATAATGCATGAAAGGCAAGTATATAAAACTATCTCAGTCACAATCAGCTACTGCCACAGGCCGATTGCCAAGTTGATTGTTTACATTGGGTATCAAGCTTTCAGTTGCTTCCCTCACAAAACCACTATTTTTACTTTTACAGGAAAATTTGCCTTCACTGCAAGTGTCCACGCGAAGAGCACACCGTGGCAGTGATGCCTTTAGAAATGGAAAAGACTGTGAACAAACTTATGTACGACTTTCAGAGGAACTCTACGTCTGATGATGATTCTGGCTGTGCTTTGGAAGAGTATGCCTGGGTTCCCCCTGGACTCAAGCCTGATCAGGTAAGTGTTACTCTGCTCCTAATTCACATAGCTCAGGTTTTTCTTTATAGGATTCAGATTTCTGATTTGTCTAGGGTTCCTTTTACAAGTTTCAGTGCATTACTATCACACTTTGTTTATACAAAGAACATTTTGATTCACCAGTAAGTAAGTTCAGACTGGACAAAACTCAATTTACAGAAACAAAATTGTGAGATCTCCCCAAATTAGATTTATTCCAGACCAGCATCAGCCCCAGGTCCAAAACCTACAATAGTTTGGATGCATGAGGATCCAAGTATGTGACTTGAAACAAATCTTGCGTGCCTTAAAAAACAGTTAGTGTCTGGAAACTTTGTCTGGAAGCATTGCCTGTAATTTACCTTTGTGATTGTGTGGTGAGTAGCTAAAGAAATATCTAAGAGAAATTAAAATATAATAAACTGGAGAAAAACATTACTCTTTTGTTTGTTCTAAGTTCTATTTATTTTTCGCATTTTTAGTTTAGTGGGTTCAAACAGTGTGAGGCAGCAATATACAAGGCAAACATGCTGGGCTATATTGGAAAGTTAGTTGAGTTCAGATTTCCAGACATCATATACCAGCTATTTAGCAGTTCGGTCAGGCTGCAACAAAGTATAATGAATTAGTGACTGGAACAGGAAGGGGGTGGTTGAGGCCAGAATACTGTCCATATTTTTAAAAAAACAGCCTGGTGCTTTAATGGGCTGATGAGAGGATGAGTATTCTGGAAGGATGAGATCAAATGGGCCAAAAGGTCTTCTCTACCTGAACCAATCTTGTGATATTGTGAAGTCCCAGGATACAAGATATTTAGGAGGAGATACATTTTTGTAGGAGGGGAAGTAAGCTGGTATGAGAAAGAAAACACCAACTTTCATTTTTTATAAGATATTACTTTTAAAGATTAGTGTTGAATAAATATAACATCCAAATTCATGACACTTCAAGAAACTTTGAGAGTTGATGAAACCTTAACTGCCTTTTTTTCTACTGATTTTTGATATTCTTTTTCATGGAAAATGAGGCAAAATTCTATGCAGGTATTTCAAATCCGTAAGCAGTATTCTTGAGTGTGATGGAGTGAAATAAATGTATGGTGTTACTTTGGAAATGGTTAAAGCATTGGTTCAGTTGGTGCTCACATTGCCCAGTATAAAACTAAGCTATGCAGACTGGGCAGATCTCAAATTCAGTCCACAGTCTGCTGAACTGCCCAGACACGTGTATGTCTGTGTGGGTGGGTGGTGGGGAAAATGACTTGAGCCCAGTGTGATGCCCCTCTGGTGGTTGCTGACATTTACTGTCAGTGTTTACGTAAGAAGATTAGTCACCAGACCAGGTCAAAAGCCTGGAGGGAAACCAGCAACGGGGAGCTCTGGACGCAGACGTCAGGATGAGTCAACGCCTTCAACACCTTCAGGGGAGAGCAGAGAAAATTAGGCAAAAAGAACCGTACAATAAAACTATTAGTCCAACTGATCTGTCAAATCAATGAGAGCAATGGGATTCTGAGTCCATTAGAGTTCTTTAGAGTAATAAGGCTTAAGGGAGGGAAATGCCTAATCGAACAAAATCTTTTTATTCAAAAAAATCTTTTTATTTTTATTCAAATTTCACCATTAAAATGGTTCAATATAAAAAGTAAACACTACAGAAATAATGGTAAGATGTTTTTTTCACTGATGTAACGCAGTTATTTTTTTATCCATATTAATAAAGCATGATGCCTTTAGAAATGGAGTGAACAAACTTGTGCATGCAACTCCCCTCCCAGGAACCTTAGATTTTCCTTCTCTACCTCATCAAATGTCCATCCTCTCCTAAGAGGATGGGGAAATGAAACGTTGCCAGGAATCTGCTTATGTCAGCTGCTAAGAAGTGCATGAAAATGGCCTTAGCTGCGTCACATCTAATTCATTCCTCGCTACGTTAATTCAGTGCACTCAGCTGTGCAGGGCACCATTATAATTAACACCTATTGCACCAGAGGTCACCTTCGACACACGTCTTCAAAACTGTAGCTCAACTTATTTATAGGAACTCTTGCTTTGTTGGACAGATTTCTGCAAAATACAGGGTGACCCCCATTGTAAAGCGTCTTCGCTAGAATCAGGTTCACCTATAACACAGGTGTGCGGTGAACCCACAATTACCAGATATGCTTTCTGCTTCCAGTGTGACTGGACGGTTTCCTGTGTGTCGCACATGCCCAGGAACCTGGCCAATCCCCACTGGGAGCCGGACTTGATATTAGCAGTGACCTGATAACCCGGAAGCCGGATATTTTTTCACAGATCCATTAAAACCCGTTATTTTAGTTGTTACATATTGCAATCCTTTTTAGACTGTGCACAAGATAAGAATAAGTTTAGTGTGACCTTAATCCTCTAAGGAAAATAATCTTGCACTTCCCTAGGTAAGAGTCCCTATAAACAAATAAATCCAAATTCCTCGGTACAAATATTTTTGGGACAAATAAACAGTTCTAATCCATAGATATTGGAACGTCTTGTGCACACTGCGGCTCAAACATTAATGAATTTAATGCATTAAATGCTCCACAATAAGAATTTGTGTAGCCTAATCCTTCTACAAAGCATAAAACATTCCCCAGTAATTTAAATAATTGAAGACAAACTCTTCTTAAGAAGAACTAGATCACGTGGTGGGTTAACTTGCCGCATTTTCTAGTTTGGGGCTTGGATTTCAGTCCAGCCCACAGAATGAAAGACTCCGCTGTGGATGTAAGGACTCTCTGTGAAGTTAAATCCATTTCCTAGTAGGCAACAAGTCAACACAATAAAAATACACAAGTCACTACACTTTACAGAAGTTCTGAGACATTCTCCCCATATGAAATTGTTAATATATTCTCACGTAAAAATTAAAGGGAGTACAATTATCTATACCAATAATCTACTTGTAGACAGTCACTACACTTTATAAATGCCAGGAATATTATTTATTATTTCTGAAAGAAGATTACACACCTTCCTATACTCTCTATTTCCTTCCTCCCTCATGATTGCAAATTTGATTGTTAAATCATTGTTTTTAACTTTAAGGTTTTTTTAAAAAGCATCACATTGTAGCTGCTTATTAATGAGCTACAATGCAAATTTTCCTAAATATCTAAGAATATTTTTAAGACCTAGAAAACCACAGTGAAAACTATTTCCGTACAATTGGAACTAAACCCCTTAATCAAGTTGACATGGTCGACAGCAAGCACTGAAGGCTGTGTTTAAGCTGGAATGTTTTTTTGTGTTTTTTTTTAGGTTTTGCATCAATTCATGGAATTAAGTACTGTGGGCACTGTATTCATACTGCCAGGTGTTTAAGACACTTTACTCAGCTATGCAGCATTAGCCACATGCTGGCATATCTTCTGACCTGCAACCAAAAAATGCCATATCTTCTGATCCGCATCTTTTTGATTCCCTGCTGGTATTACGTTCAGCCACCCAGTGGAGAGTTAATTGAAATTGTTTAAATTTATCAATGGAAATGAGTGTCACTGCAGTAAAAAAGATAGAAAATGGCGATTTGAGGAAACTGTAAAAACAGTCCAAGTTTTATTAAGACTGAATTGAAATTGTTGTTGTGAGTATCGATATAAAGATGCCTTCGTGGAAGTGAAAGAACAACAGAGGGACATCAAGCTAGCAGGGCAATTATACTGAAAGCAAATGGACTTTTCCAACATATCTCATAATGCAGAGGAATGCAGAAAATGCACAAATGGTTTAAAATGTATGGTCAGATTAAAAATAGCACACAATGAATAACAGACATTCATGGAGAAACAGCTATGTGGTCCATCCAAAAGCATTTGTTAAATCCTACAGCTTGTTGAATTGAAGAAGCCAATTTCCCCTGTCTTCCTTTTCTGGTAAGTAAAACCTTTGTTTTAAAACAAAACTAACAATTAAGAAATAACACAGCATTTATTTTATAAAGCTTTTTATAATAAGCTTTTCAATAATAATTTCTAAAGTTGCAAATCTCTTGTTCTGTGTCAGAAGCATTTGCTGTGAGTGAAGTAAATTTTGGCTCCTGGTTTTCTGGAATCATTAATAGTTGATATCTACAGTTTATGGATAGTTCAAAGTCTTTTAATGAAAACATTTCTTTAAATTTCCACAGATGAATTTTCTGCATCCACATATTTTCAGATGGTGTAAGACCCCGTCAATATCTCTGAGAAAGACAAATACAAGGTGCAATTTGATGCCTTGGGGCCACCATAGCCTATGAAGATGAGGCAGCCAGAAGCCATCTTCTACACTATATTGCTGAGGGATGGGACTACTTCATACCTTTGGTGGGATTGGACACAGGGATGTCTCTGACAAATAAACTAAAAGCCAGAGTGTTGAACCAAATGCATTCAGTCACAATGGACATATCCTGGGCTTAAATTGTGCCCATCACACCTAGGGCACCCGAACAAAGTCAACGGCCGTACGTTGAAATTGAAACATTGGAGTCTGGTCTGAGATGCACGTGGTCTGAATGTGGTTGCAGGAGTAACCTTGCTCTGGTTAATCTGCTGACCACACCATGCTGTTGAGAAACCAGTGACTGCCTTCATCACAGGTCTGGGCAGCTTGCCATTCACCGATCTCTCTAGTCCTGTGAAGACCTGCCTGTGTGGTTCTGACTGATGTACCCTGAAAAGCAGAGTGTAGCTCTGTGGAGAATCCATCATGTGAGCTGTCCTTTCAAAGCTCAGCAACCAGTTTGTTGTAACTTTTTGACAACAGGAAATATGTTTGTGGTTTTAAAGATTACCACTATAATTCTAACAAATTTTTACCATTGCTTCATTTCAATTGTGCTTTTTTTTCTTCTTTTGGCATGTTAAAATATCTTACAGAGGTACTTTTTAATATATATTAAGCAATTCAAGATTTGTTTGCCTTTGAGTTTTTTTTGAAGAAAAGTATTTGGTTAAAATTATTTTATTTTTAGAATCCCTAGAGAAAACCTCTGGGATGGTTCTGTGCCAGAACAGTCAGTCAGCAAACTTGGTCACAGCTGTTTCTGCCAGGATCTGCCCATTGGAGCCTCCGTGTTTGTCTTGCTATATATTCCGACACATGCAGTACTGAACATGACCAAGAAAAATGTACTGTGAGCTTTGAGTTCCTTGATCATAAATGACCAGTGTAAAGCAAAGTGCTCGACTCAACCCTCCATGTGGATTTGCTTATATTGAGCATGGATTTAGGTACTGAGACTCGATGTAAAACAAGTATTTTTGCTTTTTATTAAAAATCCTCTGTGCTTTTAATTCTGTTAATCTCTATTAGTGGTGTCAGCACTTTATCCCAAATACAGTGAATGGAGGTATTCCCTCCCTCCCCCCCACACTCCTCTAACAGTACTGCTTCAAGTCTTGTTTCAATATGAGGTCTTATGAGCCTTTCAGTCCCAAATGGATTTTTTTTTCTGTTTCAGCAAATGTACATTTAACATCGAAAAATCAGGTAAACTGTAATGTTAGTAAACCTTCATAAGCTAAACAACAGTTTTGTAATTTTATTAAATAGCAAATTGCGTGTACACAACTTTTTATGGCCCTGATGCAACACAATATGTAGCACAAAATGTAAAGCAGACTTGAAACAATTCTGCTGGAATCCAAGGTAGGAATGTACAAGATGGGAAAAGACCATTACATTGGTCGCAAAGTAAAAACAAATGATGCACTGCTTTATCTCTCACACCCTCATCATTATCTCATCAAAGAGTCCTCAGTAAGATTTGCAGCTTGCACCAAGTTATCTAATGGCACCTGGGATGCAATATATTGTACATAATGCAGTATTGTCCATCTCTGCCCCTTCACAGTCCTAGTTGAGAAGCTGAACATGGCTAAAGAATGGAAAGTTGAAAAGGTAAATCTTAGAAGTTAATTGTAGTTCTTTAAATTGGTAGAATTAGTACAAATATTGTAGTTGTTTCCGAAACCCTGCGATCTATTTCAGCAGTATTAAACGGCGGATCTTTCCAAGCTGTTATTGGCAGTATGAGGAGAAATTTTCAAGTGGAGCTCTCCCATGTATGCTGATTTTCCACTGCTGGTGCCAGCAGTACAGAATGGAGTGTGCAAAGATGTCCTTTAGAGTGGTGGTTAGGAAAAGCATTGAAATGTATGCTATTGCTAAAGACCCCCTTTTCTACCCATTCCTCCCACCCTACTCAAAGTTACTTCCTACAAACATACTATTCTCAATCAGATAATAATAATAATAATCTTTGCATTTGATGTAGGGCCTTATCACAATGTTGAGACGTCTCAAAATGCTTCACAGAATATATTGTAAAGTGGATTCACTGTGTATTTTGTGGGGGGATAAGTTATAAGATAAGTTCTATCATTGCTTTCATGAACATCTCCACAGGTTCTCAAATGCCATAAATAATCTTCATAACGCAGCCTGCCAGGAGATGTGTGAAAGTGTACAGAAGCACATCTTACCGGCTGATTTCTCTCTATCTTGTTAAATGTGTGAGTGTCATTGAAACCAGAATTCAAACTTTTGATTTCTCAGTTGGGAGTCCAGTGTTTTAACTGTTGAGAACTGCCTCATGGAATTAATCTTTTTTTTCCCACTTTTAGTGAATGTCAAAGACTGAAGTGGTTCTGATCACTAGTGTTCGCTCACAAAATTTTCAAACAAATGTAGCTTATCAAATTTCAAACAAATGTAGCTTGCTGAATTAAATATATTAACATACGGATGTGGAGCCCTTTATTTTACAGCCATGCTTTTTATTTTGAATGTAGATTGGATTCTGCGTAAACTCTTTGTAATTCTGATGGATTTAAATGCTGCTTTGTGTTGAAAGGTTATTGTTGTATGACTCAGTACATTCTCCACTGAACTAAGTAATGCAGATTATCTTGCTGTTCTGTTGTTTCATAAGTGTGATCGCATTGTATTGTGGGAAGCAGAAACCCATTCTCAACATAAACACCTTTAGTAATAGATTATATTCTTAATTTTACAATGTAATGAATTTACTTCATGTAATTGTTGAACCACAATGCATCTGCTCCCAAAATGTAGCATTGCCAAGCCTGCATTATATTTCCCCACACTGGCCTTAACTTGCCTTCCACGTTGCAGAATACCAGTCATCCAGGCACCAATTATCTTCGTGTCTATTTATCCGGATGTCTATTTATCTGCATCAAGCTTCAATTTGGAAGTGGACACAGGGCTACACTGTCGAAGGGACAAGGTGGTACTACAGCGATGCTTTATCTTGTGACAGAACTATTCTTTCCTCAGTGCTGTAACTAATTTGAATTTGGGGTTTTGTCCAATTATCCACATTGGTGCCGGTCTCAATTAGAGCAGATGATCATCTCTCTCCTGTATATTCAAACAATTTCACAGTGCCTCATGCACTCAGTTTGTTTTCACCAGCACATGACTTGAATGTCAAGCATTGATCAGTTTTATTCCAACAAGTATACATTCATAAATAAAGTGCATACAAAGTAAAGCCTCTCCCTATTTCTCCAACATACTCTGTGCTGTATTATGAGTTATGGACAGTTTTGCAAAAGGTTCGCTGAGTGACACATCCTGTATTTCCACATATATGATCTTCAGTGGCAAAGCGTTTCCTCTCATTTGCTTAAGGCTCTAAAGTTATCATTGCAAAATGCTTAATACAGTTTTTCTTTTAAGAACGACAGATATTATGGAAGCAGAATGGGGGGAAAACCATACATTGAATATAGGTTTTATTTAGAGAAATTAGTGTGTATTGTATATAAGTATTTAACATTTTCCATACCAATTACTTAATATTTGGTTTATATACATTCAAGCGTATCACAGGGAACTGTGTATCTTTCTGTTGATATCACATAAAGTAAATGAGAACTTTCATAACATCTAACTAATAACTAGTAACAAAATTGCATCATAAAAATAGGGAAGCACTGTAATTTGAAGTTAGTGGCAGATTTTATGTTAAAGAAAGGAATTGAACACTGTGAAAGCATTGTTGAAGGAAGGATTGGAATTTATAAGGTACACTAGTAGTTTTCAAGCAGATTTAAGTCAGAACAAAGGTGATTTGCAGCATTGCAATGAACCCAATGTCACTTGCTGGTGAAAATCTCAGTAAATCATGTAAGTATAACTTCAGTATTAATGTTGTTTAAGAAGTGTCTTTTAAGGACTGGTAAATGGAAGACTTGTAACATATGTCATCTTTAATCATAGCACTTGTCAGCTGCAGAAACATTGCTACCTTGGATAGCACAGCTTGATTTAATCATAGCCAATGTCAGTGGGAGAATAATTACACATTGCTACCATGTATAGCATAGCCTGCAGTTTTCAGAAAAAAACTCTGTGGACTAGTATAAATTGAGCTGCTTTTTTTCCGGTTTGCAAATATTGTTAAGGGCATGCCGTATGTTTCCATTTATTTTTCCATTAACTGTGGCAGCATCTTAAATTCATATGGAATCAAATCTGAGAACATGCATAATAATAATGAGTTGGGATAATGATAGCCTTGTTCTAAGCTGGGGGCTTTCTCGTTCCTTTCTAAATTCAGTGGGGAGAAAGTACCCACGCTTTGCGATATGTGAGGAAATGTTTATAAAGCGAATGATAATGAGGACACTATGTACTGGAGTGATGACAATTCTCAGTTTAGAAATCAAGGACTTTGCCTAACATGCAGAAATGGGCTATTGAGGATTATTTCTAACTGTAACATACCTGCCATACACAGGTTCACCAATACTACAACTGTCTCCCCGAAGATAAGGTTCCGTATGTTAACAGCCCTGGAGAGAAGTACAGAATTAAACAGCTGCTGCACCAACTACCACCACATGACAATGAGGTAAGTGTTAAATGTATATAATACACATACAATCGGGTGTGCGCATGCTGTTCGTGTGAGCCCCTTCAACTCCCACCCCCAGCTCGGGTGTCCAGCCAGCCGTATTAAGCACTTTGAGATGTCTTCCTGACATGAAAGGTGCTACGTAAATTGCATTGTATTGTTCCAACATACAGCATGAAAGCACATAGCTGTAAAGAAATGGTGCTTTTAATTTGAAAAATATGTGCACCCCAAACCTAAGCATCAAAAGCATCAGTTGACATGATTCATATATAAACCACTACATTATTTCCCAGATACAATACATGTACATTTCTACATTTTGCTTGTTCCTAATTCATCAGTTTTGTTATCATTAATTTTCTACACACGTTACAGAGCAAAGACAAATAGACTGCATCTGTTACAGATCTAACACCTGAGACTTATTTTCTGCGGTCTTAACAATTTTTGGCTGTGTTGCAATAGAATTGTTAACCCTTGAGCCATGTTTTGAACAGATGGAGTTACATTACCATGGATTTATTTTGAGTTCAGCCCTTTGTAAAACTAATGAGAAATTACTGAAAAAAGCACAAATAGTATGTTCAACCTCTTCTGAAAGGAAATGGGCATTGGGAGTCTGAGACGGTTGATCTCCTTGATGATAATTGGGGTGATTTCAGCTCTTCATCTCATAGTACATAACTAAACAAATAATATGTAATTAAATAAGTATTTTTTTGGCAGATTATTCGCTATTAAATAGTCTAAGCTGTAGAATTCTGCACTGAAGCTTCCCACATCTCAGTGTATGTGAATGACATGGAAAGAGAGGCAATTCATGCAACACACTGCAATATTTTTTTTCTCCTAATGTCAAATACAGTACCGTCTTCCAGTGCAATTTGTGTGTTTGAATTTAGCCCTGCGAAGAAGTGCTGAAACGTATGGCTGAGCAGAGCAGTTTTCTGATTGGCCCTAAATGGTCCTTTCAATTTTACTATGCTTATCATGTGTGTTTTTTTCAGGTTCGATACTGCAATTCACTCGATGAGGAAGAAAAGAAGGAATTGCGACTCTTCAGCACCCAAAGAAAAAGGGAAAATTTGGGAAGAGGGACTGTTCGACCTTTCCCTATAACCATGACTGGTGCAATTTGTGAGCAGGTCAGCAGTTATTATAAATAATACACAATGAAGAACCTTGTATAAAATCTGATCTGAGAGTTCTGAAGTTGAAGCTGCAGGTGATGGGCTTCCATCTTTAGATTTCTAAATGTTTTTAAAAGGTTAAATATCTTCACCTTTACCTATAGCTTCTCTGAAATCATTTAGGTTTCTTATATATACTAAAACAAAATATTCTCAAGGATATCAAAGCTTACTGTTTGGTCTGGAAAATGCATCTAAGTTAATTCCCTCCATTTTTGCTATATTTTGCTCGATCAAATTTTTAAAAATCTTCCAACTATTCAACTTTGTGATTGTAATGCAAAAGTAAAAGGATACCAGTAAAAGCTAATCTGCACAGCATAGTAATTTGTATTGGAAAACGCCTATTAAAGCAAGCCTTTTATACATGGGCTGTGCCCCAAATTCAGCCACAATTTAATCTTCGTACACATAAGTAGTTTGAAAAAACAACTAGCTTGCCAAGAAATGTTATGGTTGAATCAGAACTACACTTGAATCAATTTTTTTTATGAACCACAGGTAAAAATAGCCCGTTTTTTGAACTTTTGCACAATACTCCATTCATCTATTCAATTATTCTATTTGAAACAAAACAAATGGAAAATACATAAAATATACTGTATTTTACACTAAAAGTATTGGGCATATAAAACGTGCTCCTAATAGATAAAATATGGAAAAGGATTGATTGCATTTAGTGTGCCAAGCATTAAAGCACCATGTTGAATTTGGCATTTGTACTGAAGTTTTGTCTTTAGAACAGGAATTCTGAAAAGGAAAGGGTTTGCTAGTACATCGGAATTTAGTGCACAGATCAAGTATGGATACAACTGTGTATTTCTTACGTTTAATGTTAACGTTAAACTTCAATGATCACTAAGTATCTAATTTCTGATCTACTGATTTGTAAAATATTTCAGTTGGATTTGTAAGCGCATCCTGCAGCATTTGCTTACTTTTGCAACTTTGTAGTTTGTTTGTCTCTCAGTCACAATATAGCATTGCTAGATTAATGTCACTGTGATTGATGACATTGGTTTTATGGGAAGTAACGTGCATAAAGCCAATTGGAAATTAGCAATCAAGTTTCTTTAAACATGTAACTAGTTACAGAGCAGTTAAAACCTCATTTCAGTGCACCAGCAACATGGAAATTTCTATAGCAGAATTTTACTGAAAGTTAGTCTTCTATTAGAAACTTGTTACTATAGTTACTGTTTCAAGAGACTGTAAATTGATTGTCTCTTACAAATAGAAAGTGATGAAAAAGGTGAACCATCGTTACACTTGACTGCTCACTTTTTCATTAAAAAAATGTTTTTTCATCTCATTTTTCTTAATTAGCAGTATTCTGAAACATGACTTTTTTTTAACAGAATAGTTATTACAAACATTGTAATTGAACAAATATTCAAATGCTTCTGCCAGGTTTCCTAAGACTTTTACAGATGATAATGACAAAGCAAATGTACGAAAATGAATGTTTTTAAAAATAGTATCCTGTATTTAAATAAAATTGATGAGACACATATTCTGTAGCTGCTAAACCTTTTGCCTTCCTCCCCCATGCCATGACATCTCCAGTTTTTCTTCATGTTTCCATCCTGTTAATTTCTTCCATGTTTGTCCCTGCTGTGACTTAACACTCAATGTCTAACTTTGGTCTCTCTTGTATCCCTCCTTCAGTATGTACAGGAAGCCTTCATTTTTCTGGATTCTGATTTGAATTTGAGGTTTGGCTGTTGTCAGTGATCAAAGGCAAATAGAAACATTTCCCTCTGTTCTCCCCTCCTCCTAATCGGAATCTCACGATTTCTGAAACATTTTAGCATTCCTGTGATGATTCCCATGATCAAATGACTTACCGACTTTCTTGTGTCTAGCTAGACTCATGTGTGAAGAATACTTAGTGCTGAGGTATCAGAGCCATTACTCTGTATCCCAGCAGTCATTCCTTCCTTCAATTTTGGCGTAAATTAGATTTTTTTATACGAGATTACATTTGTCAACTTTTTTCTAATTACAATTAATTTCATGACCTCCACTCATCCACGGCTGGAGTCTTTGAAACTGGATCCACAGAAAAATGTCTCTGTTTCCTATCTGTGTATGTGTGTGTGAAGGGATGTGAGTGCCAAATAATCACATTTTCTTGGATTTTAATCGAGCTGCATGGGTTAGCATCTAATCAGACACCATTGGAGGGTGAAACATTATCAACACTGGTGATCTATGCTTGGAATGTGGTTTCCCGATTAGAAGCATGTTTTGTCATTTTACTGGACTGCAGAATTTCATCCCTGGGTTTTCTTTGAAAATAAGACCAATAAAAATGGTTATTCTTTTGCCCACACCAACACCCAAAATATAATAAAAGATTCTTGTTTCCTGAGTAATTTTCCCCGTCATCTTGGTTGTTACTTTTAAAAATCAACATCCAAGAATAGCCAAGAAGAGCCAATTTTTCACATAACCTATGTGAAACATCTGTACTTGAATAATAATGTGTCCCCTTAGGTTACTTGAATCAGATGTAAAAATATACATTTTGCACCGATGTTGCTAAGGATTGATTTGTCATTAAATTCTTGACCTGTTTGTGTATGCTCGGTCCTGGAAATAGTTACATACTTGAATTATGCAATGGAAGCACTTATGTATCCTTTGGTTACTTAAATACTGTAGTAGATTATAAACAGTGTTTCATGTAACGCTTAAAAATAGCTTGTCAGAGCTTTCAATTTTGTTATGGATGATTACCAACTTAACTCTCTTAAATGTGTGGAATCATTAGTTTTACAGAGGAGTTGTGAATGTATGGAAATGACTACCCAGGGAGACAGTAGAAGTAGTGTGTCAACAATAGATTAGTGTGTGTATTGTCTTTACTTTGGACCAGATGGACTTCAATCATTTTTTTGAGTCAGTGCTGTTAGTTAATTTCAATAGATGGGTACACTTGTCATCACCATCCCTGGTTAGTGAGGGAACAATGTCAGCCAGTCCTGATTCCCTATCCAGAGACCCTGCTGGAAGGTACATGTGTGTGGATGTTTGGTGAGAACAGAATTGGTTTTGAAGGAATGCAGTTCCTCCTGCCTGCCCCATCGCCAAATTGACTAATACCACTCATTGTCAATTGCAATGACAAAGGCCAGTTGATAAGGAACATTAAAGTTACTGCTTATTCATAAATTAAATACTCAGGTAATTGAGGTGGGGTCTATTTTTTTAAAAAATTGTCAGAAAATGGAGGAAGGGGGAATTTTACACACAAAAGGATAATTCTCTTAACATTTGATTTATTTTGGAATAATCAAAATCTCTCTAAATCAAGCCAGAAGCTGAAAAGTATTATTGTAATGAGTAGCCATACAGAACCTCAAGTTTAACGTCTCGTCTGAAGGTCGGTATCTCTAACAATGCAGTGCATGTTCAATAGTTGCCTATCCCATTACCTTTCTCAACATCAAAACAATGATGTATTTTTAATTTGCCACCAGTGCGGAGGGCAGATCAGTGGAGGAGACATAGCTGTGTTTGCCTCACGAGCTGGCCATGGCGTTTGCTGGCATCCACATTGCTTTGTCTGTGCCACATGCAATGAGCTGTTGGTGGATCTGATTTACTTTTATCAAAATGGGAAGATCTACTGTGGGAGACACCACGCTGAACGTTTGAAACCGAGATGTGCAGCATGTGATGAGGTGAGTTTATGGAACTTGATCCAGCCTTGCAGTATGTTTGGAAATAAGTACACTCTGTGCTCATTCATAGGATGGAATATGGCCCACTGGTTTGGTGTGCTCAGTGTTCACAACTTATCATTGTCAAGAACAAGAGAGAAAGGATTGCCTTTTGTTGTAATGAGAAATTACCAGATAGCATGGCCAGCAGATGCAAACGTTTAATCCTCATATGATACACATGACATCCGAATACAAAGCAGCCCATTGGGTGTTATTTTGCATTACTTTAATGGTGGTCGGAAGTGGATGGACTTTCCTCGGCTGACTCTAGTAACAGATCTGTTGAAATAATATTTGTTGCTGAAGCACAATCCTCAGATTCCATTAACATCATCTTCATGTTGATTATTGTCTTTCATTAGCGGCTTTGTTCCAAATTGTTTGTTGTCCTTTATTTTTTGTGCTTTGCATTGCAAGAGAAGGGTTTTAATCAAACCAAATGCTCAAATAATCTCAGTTTTGGATTGTAAAATCTGTCACCTAAACATAACGGATCATAAGTTTGATGTGTTTTTGTACTTTTCCCCCAAATACTTCAGATTTTTAAGGAACCACCCACTTATCAGCCACTTCATTCATATCAGAATAAAATCTAGGAAATGTTAAACAAGAGAAAGCCATGGTAAATCCACATTAATTGATTCCTACATGTCAGCATCTTTAATAGCAAAAATAATATTTTAACAGATGAAAATTCAATAAACAAACACTAGAACCTAATCCCTGTGGATGGTTCCTGACACCACCATATAAATATGATCTTATCATTTCATACAACCACCCACGTCTGCTTAATCTTTTAGGTTCAATGCAGTTCAACTAAAACATTTAAGTATTTTAATAACTTTACAAGAAAAAGCCCTGTCCAGCTGGACAGCAGTAGATCAGAACATTATTGCAGAATAATAATTATGAACTGCCAATAAAAATGAAGTTATTTCTTGTATATTTCAAGTTAAATGTGAAGAAAACAAAATATAAAAGGATTGTTTACTGAAAATAAATGTTTGTTTTGAAACAAAGCAAACTGGATAAAACAACAGACAAGTTTGAAAACTTAGTTCAAAAATTTCTTGTGAAACACCCTCATCCCCTACATGTGGTTTGCAGCTGCTGTTTCGTGTGGTATTTTTTGAACAGATGCTTACTACATACCAGTGTTTAGAATATAATTCTCTGAATGTATTAATGATTATAAACATTGAGGTGATGTATTGGGATGTTTAGAAATTAGTCATCAACAAGGCAGAGTATGGATTGTGCATTTACCTCAAGTGCATTCTTTGGCAATCTGTATTGAGCCATTCATATGTGCCCTAGTTCCAAGTACGTTATCATTGAGGCATGTGATAATGGTATAATGGTTTTGTCCTATTCTCAGGTTTGACTCTTCACAACTACATTACCATTTTACCTATTTTTTGCTAAAGCTTCAAGAAAATTGTCTTTTAGCTTTCCATAGTGAGTCATGATTAAACTTGACATTGCTATACATGAAATGCTGTAAAGTGCTCACTTCATCCTGAGTGTAGCATTAAAGTTCCAAAACATCACTGCAGCTACAAATCAGGGCATGTGAATTTATAATTAAATCTTTAATCAATTGGTTTCCTATAAAGAAACTGCATTGGCACAACTAATACCAACAGCAGCTCAGTACTCCTGACTAATACTAGTGGCATGAGTCTAAAGTTACTACACAGCTGCCCTTATCTTATTTTGACAGATAACTGACTAATGGTGCCTAAGAATTTAAGCAAGGACAGTGAGGACGGAAGCTTAGAAACGTGATGCATCACTATCACTCAAAGGAGTAATCCCTTCTTACATTTACCTAGAGACGAGGGGAATAAGTACAACATCATTGTACATCTGTCTGTCCATGAACAGAACCTGTCATCTAAATAACTCAAGTGTCAAACCCCATTTCAAACAATAGATGAATTTAAAAAATAGAAACAGGTCAGTGCAGTAATGCTGTGAATTGTTGAAGATTCCACTTAACCTTGCAAGGGAAAGTTGCAATTTGCTCGCTGAAAAAGGGGGAAAACACCTGATATGCCCCTTGAAAAAGGGGGAAAAAATAAAAGATAAATTGTGTCCTAAATGTCAGATCTCGAGTTTTTGCAGTCACTTTCCAAACCTCTTGATCGAGAAATAGTGCATGGTACATCTTGTGGGCCCCAAAGGCACATACACCAATGCAAGTATGTGCAGGCAAAAACAACAACTTGCGTTTATATAGTGCCCCTCATACGGGGTAGTGTTCTGGAGTTACCCCATGGCTTGACAACGAGCCGGGTGGAGAGGGAGGGGTGTGTGACTGAAAGCACAATCAAAAAAGAATGTCTTGGCGGGATTTGAAGGTGGGGAGAGAAGGGGCGAAATGGAGAGATTGAGGGAGAGACTTTTAGAGTTTCAGGGCTTAGTGGCTGAAGACACGGCCACCGATGGTGGTGCGGAGGGGATGAGGGACAAACAGGAGGCCAGAGCTGGTGGAATGAGGGGTAAGCAGGTCAGAGGTGTGAGGGCGTGAAGGGATTTGAAAACGAGTGAAAGGATCTTGAAATCGATTCGTTCGGTAATTGGGAGCCAGTAGAGCCTGGCAAGGACTGGTGTCATGGGGCAATGCAGAACATGAGGTTTAAACACAACCTCTTGCTCCATTAAATCCCTAATATTTAATTGTACATACATTGTATGTACATTGGATATACATTGGCAAAATAACTGCTATTTTTATTTGCTATTATGCCTTCAGAGAGTTAAAGAGTGAAGAAGTTGATTGTACTTTATGTCCTCCTGACACTATAAAATGCAATTTGTTGTTGTACTTATTATCCACACTGTAAATATCTGTAAAATTCTTAGTATCTTGTCAATCATTGCAATTTACTTAAGTTCAGATAGTCTATGAAAAAAATAATTTTTCATGGATTATGGGACACCTTGGGTGATATTCCTCTTATCAGTGATATAGCAGTGATGTCATACGTGCTGAAATTGCAGTTTTCTAACAAGCAAGCAGCAAGTGAAATATATCTTATCATAATTCAATGAAGTGGGGCAGATGTTTCTATTCCACAGCTCCTGTAGGATCCCTTTATACAGTAATTGGTTATTTCAATTGCAGTTATTGGCAGAGAGTCATATTAGTGTTTTTTCTCCTATGGTGAATATTCTCCTATATATCTTTCGGCAAGTTCATCTAATTTCTTATGTACCATAGATCATAGGTTTGTATCACTGATGTGCAATTTTACTTGTATGTAGAAAAAATCTGAATGGAGCTAGGGAGGTCTAACGTGTACCAGTCACTTTCAGTTTATGAATGAGATGCTCTCTGCATGTATAGTTACCCCTCTCTCCCTCCCTCCCTACCTCCTTTTTGCATATCTTCTGCAACATCTTTTAGTTGGCAAATTGAATTGTGGATTATTGGTGCTGATGTAATTGCACCCAGTGACTCAGCTGGTTGTGGGAGTGAGGCCAGATGGAAACAAAGTGCTATATAATTGTGGTTTGAACTGTTATGCAATTGAGTCATTTCAGTTAATTGGAGAAGCAAACCATATTAGCATGTACAGAGAGGGACGACATTTACAGAAAACTGAGGAATGGAATGCAATCTTATTTTAATCCTTCTGTGCACTTAAATTCTACTCTTTTTGAAGATATTGCAGTAGTCACGCACGACATTCTGGAAAATGTTGTTACTCATTGTCTCAATTATTGACCTTGTTCAGGGCTCTGATGCATCATTTATGTAAATGGATATGCATGGTTCAATGGTTCATTGAAGCTAAACTTGTACACATTTTTCATTTTTCAGATTATCTTTGCAGATGAGTGCACAGAGGCTGAAGGTAGACACTGGCATATGAAGCACTTCTGCTGCTTTGAGTGTGAAACTGTCCTTGGGGGCCAGAGATATATCATGAAAGAAGGTCGGCCCTATTGCTGTAACTGCTTCGAGTCTCTTTATGCAGAATATTGTGACACATGCGGTGAACATATAGGTATGATAATTGCCAAATTCTGTTTGAATGCAGCAACGATAACAAAGTATATTGTTATATACTTGATACATACACAATGTGAGCTACGTTTTCAATATCATTCGATTTTTGTAATATGACTGTTTCAAAAATTTGTTCTGAACCTTTTAAAATGAGTGCTGTCATACAGAAATTGGTCATCAACTCCACTCACACTATAAGTGCAATGAAGTGCTAGCACATTGTTTAAATGACTGACCAAAAGTGTAATTCCGCTGCAGCTGTCAATCTTCAGGTTATTCAGATGGTTATTCTGTGGAGAAGTGGCTAGTGTCTGCTCAACACTTTCACTTTTTTTGATCACAGAAAATCACACAAAATATTCCATTGATTGTTCATTGTTAACGGTAGTTGAAACCTTTTTGCGGATCTACTGTGAGATAACTCCTCCAGTGGCTCATATTTAATCTTTCATGGAAACGTCTCTTCTCTAACAAAAAGAGTCCCAATGTATCCAGTCTATGCTGTACTCTTTCCATCACGACTATATCTTATAGTGTGGAAACCAGAATTGGACAAAATACTCCAAATGTAGTCTAACCAAGGTTTGATATAAATTCAACATCACCTCCTCACTTTTATATTCTGTCACTCTGAACGTAAAGCCCAAGGCCCCATTGGCCTTTTTTGTGTTTTCTGGGTGATTTAGGTGGCGGAAGCCTGCAATATTTCCTTAATAAAATTGCTGTTTATTTTGTTAAGGTATTGACCAAGGCCAGATGACCTATGATGGCCAGCACTGGCATGCCACAGAGATGTGCTTCTGCTGTGCACGATGCAAGAAGTCACTGCTTGGACGTCCTTTCCTACCAAAGCAAGGACAAATATTTTGCTCCAGAGCCTGTAGTGTCACTGAAGATCCTAATGGCTCTGACTCTTCAGACTCTGCCTTTCAAAGTGCAAGATCAAGGGAGTCCCGACGCAGTGCTAGAATAGGTAGAAATAGTAGCAAAGTAGAAGACAAAAACCTGAAGCAAACTCCTATTTTACAAGCAGCGATGAGCAGATTTTCTGCCGATGTTGACCCTCTTTCTCAACAAATGGATATGCTAAGCTTGGCTAGTCAGACTCCAAGCTTAAACAGGGAAACACTTTGGCAAACCAGAGATGTCTACCAGTTTGATGATGATACCACTGAGAGGGCTAGCTTTACAGAAAGGCCTCCTCAGCCTCTCAGCCAGTATAATTTAAGGACTGAATTTAATCCGGGACAATACATAAACAACCCGACTGATATATGGGTGAAAGAATTTAGTAATCCAAAGAGAAGTTCAGCTCCTCTCTTGAAAGAACATAGCGAGAGTTTTATCCAAGAAAGGAAAGAAGATTATTATCCTTCCACAATCAGAACCCAAGAAAGTTTTAGCAGCACATCCAGCCACAGTGTTTCTGAGTCACGAACAAAACCAAGTGGTCCAGGGTATGAGATGGAAAGGGAATTAATTTCTCACCAGTGCCGAACCAGACACCCAATCAATGCACTTAGTTTTACTGACCAGCTCACACCTGTAGAACATACCCCGAGGGAATCCATGGAATCTCTTGCACTTTCGAATGCAACAGGTACAGTATACTGCATGATTATCTGCTCATTAAACCACTCTCATTGCTCTGTGAAGGAAATGTTACAAATCTCTTAGGGCAAAATATTGAACAATGCTACATTTACAGTGTTGAAACTGTAGAATGACTCTCTGTCTTATGACTGGTTTATTCTGGTGGAAGCAATGCATCAGTACTTCCAGATTTATGCTACTTGCTGTCAACCACTATCCCTGTGGGCAGTGAAGAGCATTGATATTGCAGCACTTTGAATTGGTGCTGAAACCACCTCCTCAAAATGTGCTTAGCAGCAGTACTCATCGTGACAATTTTCACCATGAAAAGCACAGTATAAGCTAGCCAGTCATTCTCATATCGAAGTTGTAATGAATTAACTTTGTAAAAGGATATTGAAATCATGGGAAAAAAAATATGCTTGGGATTAAGTTAATATTTGATGCCATACAGTCACAGAACATTCCAGATCTCAGATCTTTACTTTTTTAGCTTTTATATCATGATGGTGTAACAAACCAACCCAACATAACTGTCTGAAACCTTCTCAGGTGCCAAAAGTATACTTATTAGTGTACAATTAGGTTAGGGTTAACCCTAAATAAACTAACCCGAGTTAATCAGTTAATTTGTGGAGTCCTGTAGCTCAGTGGTTAGAGCACTCGCTTTGCAAGCGAGAGACCTGAGTTCAATTCCAGGCAGAGGGCGAAACCTTGGGCAAGTTTCCTTACTCCACACACCTAATAATAATCCCTCCAAAACCAAAAACAATAATAAATTGGTCATTTTCAATCTACGACTGTTTGTGGGACATTGCTGTGCGCAATTGGCTGCAGCGTTCGCCCACAAATATACAGTCAATTCAATTTACAGTCTACTCTGTGAAGCGCTTTGGGACGTCCTCCCGACGTGAAAAGCGCTATATCAAAATGCAAGGATTATTATTATTAATAAAAGCCTACAAAACAGCTCTTTCCTTTAGTTTTGCTTGTTCTCCGGCCGTGTTTTAATTTGTTTTTGTAAATCATAACCTTTTTTTAATCAATGAAAATGTCATTTGCATCAGATTGTGTAACCTCGCAAAGATGACGAATATCAATGTTTACCGAATATCATTGAAACTAGACAAGACTATATATAATGCATGTATCACTGTTTTCAGCAGGCAGCACTGAATCTCCTTCAGATTAACATGGCTGATCTGATTTCGGTGCTACCCAATGCAGGCGTATCTTACAAATTATTTCTGGAGGCTGTCGTGTTACATTTTGCATAAAACAAGTTGAACTTCCTTTGACTTTATTCTCGGGAGCAATTTGTCTTTGTGTTATTGCTCAAATGCACTTGTGACTCACGGCATTTAATTATAAGTTCCGGCTGATCTCCATTGTCGTCTCTCACCGAGGTACAACTCTATTTTCAGGGGCTTCTGTTGAAGGTGGCACCAAACGTCAGGAGCATTTGTCCAGGTTTTCGATGCCTGATTTGAGCAAAGACTCTGGTATGAATGGATCAGAAAAACTTAGCAACATGGGTACACTTAATTCTTCAGTCAGGTTTAGAAGCACTGAGTCTATTCGAAGTCTAAATTCAGTGCAGCCATACCAGGATCTACAACCACCAATGGACAGACTTAGACACTCCATGCAGTACAGGGAGTCAGTTCCTTCAGGAAGAATGCCACAGGGGTTTGATTGTTCAGAAGGTGCCATGGGTAACAGAATGCACACTGGTGTGAATGCCAGGATGGCACCTATGAGTGAACGGACCCAGAGGCGTGCACATGATCAAGGGAACAACCCTCGGCGTCACCGCCACAGACCAAAACGATCCAGACGGTCCCGTTCTGACAATGCTCTCCACCTGGCTTCAGAAAGACGCTATCAAATGAGGGAGCGGTCTCACATGTTCTCAAGTGAGGATTGTGACCAGATCATGATGCGAGCGAGAAGCAGGGATGCATTTGGAAATGGTCAGTCAAGGGATCACTACAGTAGGTATCCCAGAACTGCATCTGACCTGACTCTGCAGAACCAAGTAAGTGATAGGCTGTTGAGACCTTATTTTCATGATTATGATGACTGGTGTTCTACCTGTTCCTCTTCATCAGAGTCTGAGGAAGAAGGATACTTCCTAGGGCAACCCATTCCGCGTCCTGTTCAGCTTCGCTCCATCACTAGTGATGAATTTGTGTATAGCTATGGTGCCCCCGTTCCCTTGTCATCTAACCTGAGCGCCAGGTACCTGTCACATCATAGGAAAAGGCAGAAGAGCAAGAATTGCATTATTTCATAATATTTTGCACAAATTATTTCCAGAAGAATGTAAACTTTAAAAGTTGCACTCAAATTAATTATTAAGAAATAACATTGGCAAAGGCAATATAATTTAATCAGTATTTAAAACGTATTACAATATTTCCACAGCTATGGGCTTAAATGAAGGGTTTTTTTCGGCTTGCTTATTTCAATTCCAATAGATTTTCTTTAAATAGTGCATCACCCAATATACACTTTGGAAACTGCAGTTATAGTCACTAAGTAAATGCAGTCTACATTTTCACTAAAATGTTATCATCTACATAATTGTCAGCATGTTTACAATTGAAGATATCTGTCTACTTTCTTAACATTGTGTCCTGTATTTCTCTTCCACTGCCATAATATGTTACACAGCAAACTTAACAATCAATATATTATACCAAACTTAAAATTACAGAATTGCTTAATCTAATGTTTTTTCTTTTCTAAATGCAAGTGTTGTAATTAAAATGGCGCATACACTAAGTTAATTATATCTAGTGTATATATTATGCAAATGAGGATTTCTAAGAAAAGTATTTTTATATTTTGTAATGTAAGAAGCGTCTGGTTTTGAGTAGTTGTAGTTGCATGTTCACTTTATTCACATTGTTTTCAAATTTATTAAAATGTTGCATCCTTTAAATATTGTGCTTCTCTTTTATTCTCCTTTGTAACAATTCAACATTTAATTTTGCCGTATACTTTCAAAATTTCCAGTATTTTGTTAATAATTATTCCACACATTCTTAAATTAGTGCAAACCACATTCTTAATTTTTTTCATATTTTTAAGCCTTTTTGTGCTTTGAAATGCATTATTTAAGAACACTGTCTTTCAGAACTTAGGAAAGCTGGATAAACTGTTTTCTCTCACCTGTTTGGCTTTCCTGTCTCTTTTCCCCTTCCCAAGCAAGAATGTATCGTAGACTTGCAAAAGCTATGTATTTAAGTTAGTACTCTGGCGATACCTGATTGTTATGTGCTTATCACATGTTCGAGGCACCTCAACGCACTTCACAGAATATACTGTAAGGTGAATTGCATGTATTGGTGAAAGGTAAAAGGCCTTGCTCCTTCCTACCTCTGTGATCTCCATAGGCTCTGGCCTGCTCCACCATCGGCAGTTGGGCCTTCAGCCTCTCTACCCCCCCAATCATTTGGAATTCTATCCCACAGTCCCTTTGTCTTGACCCCTCCCTTCCCTCCTTCAAGGCACATCTCAAGACTCTCCTCTTCGACCATGCTTTCGATCGCCCTCCTACCCCTATCCTCCCTGCCCTCCCCGCTTTCTGATTCCAACTCCCTGCTCGGGGGTCCAAATCCCGGACTGTCTAAAACCTTGAGCAGTCATAAAAAGCGCTATACAAATGTAATTTGTTGTTGTATATTTTGTGGGCAAAACGCAGCAACCAATTGTGCAGCGCGTGTCCCACAAACAGTCGTTGATTAAGTGACCAAATTTTATTATTTTTTTAAGGGATTATTTAAGGGAAAAGCGACCCCCCAATCGATTGACAACTGGGTTCCTACTTACGGCTAGGCAAACAGAGGTGTGTGGAGTAAAGAAACTTGCCCAATGTTTTGCCCTGCCTGGGAATCGAACCCAGGTCTCTCGCATGCTCTTAACCACTACATTACAGGACTCCATCTATAAGATTACATTCTCAAATGTGAAACTGGACATCATGCTCAGAGCCTTATTGAAATTATTCTTCCAGTTACAGTTCAGTAAGGTGTAAGGATAGCATCTCCCCCCCCTCCCCCCAACCCCCCCTCACCCCACACACACACACACAAACAATGCATACATCAAAGTTTAAAACAATGGTATCAGATTCCATGTTCTCACATTTTAAGAATTTGAGGTTCGGGTGAAGGAGGATCTCATTCTAGCCCAGTCATTTCCCATTCTAATAAAAAGCTGTTTCTTACATGATTTCAGTAGCCTAGCCTTAACTATTTTTAGTACTAACCAATTTTAGCTGGTCATCAGCTGTGAAAAGTGAACTTCCTTGTGTTTGTTTCAAATATGCCTTTCGTGATCCTGAATCTGTGTCATATTCTCTTGCTGCTTTGGCATATCTGACAATATTGTTCGTGATTTAGTTTCTTTATCCATTGCATTTTGTTTTACCTCTACAAGATCCTCTTTGAACCATCTCATTTTGAAACAAAATAAATTGTAATGGTATCCTGAATAATTAACTAAATGAGTCTGAAGTCACTATTGCTATCCTCCTTGCCTTTCAGGTATGTAAGTTATATTACTAGCCTACATCTGCACCCAACCTTGTAGTCTATCATTACCAGAAGCAGATGCTAACTATAGTATTTGACCATGAATGTGCGCAAATAAACACACACATTGAAATCTAGTAAAATTTTGCATGTTATTTTAGAAATGTAATTATTGCAAGTAATTGCCTAAAAGTTTATTTTAACTGAGCTTAGTTAAAAATCCTATTTGCAATTTCTGTTCTGGGTGCGTACCTACCAAGTGGTCCTCTGAATGGAAGGTACTTTATCAAGAATACCAGATGAAGCAGACAACAGCTGCATTCTGATCTCCCTCCGTCCCTGTAGATTTCAATGGACAGCTGTATGCATGATAAACATACAAAAGATGTTGTGGTTGGCACTGAATCAATAGTTATGCTTATCAGATGTGAGAGTTGAAGCCGAACATTCCTTGCTGAGTTGAAGACAGATTTCAGTTTCAGAGCAATGAAAAACTTTTCAGCTTGTTTTTTAGCAACTTATCTCAGTGACTTACAAATAGATGTTCTAAATCTTATTGCAAACAGTATGAAAGTAAAGTAAAAGCACTTGATGAATCCAAAGCCTTTGCTGGTTGGATGTATTTTGTTGAGTTTCGCCTTGTACCACATGCTGTTCTGGAAATGATGTACTTTGCCAAAAGCAAAGCCTCACAAAACAGAAAATGCTCAGAGCTATAACATTTTTGCTGGTTATGAGTTTCACTGTAATTACTGTAACAATGGTCTGGTGCCATTTCACAACACTTAGATCACATCTTTCAAATTGTTCAAAAGTAAAATCGGGAAATAAAAGTTTTTGTGGTTGGCATAAGGTTCTTTTTGGTGGTAACTAGGTACAAACCAAGCAGAGCATGATGAGGTGTTTTCAGTCTTCAGTGTGTCACGTGTCATGAAATGGCATAAAACCATTCCAGTAAAACAGTAATTACAGTGAGCTTCATGACTAGTGAACATTTGATACCCCTGTGATCTATTGCTCCCCCACCCATTCCTTCCGCTCTGCTAACTCAAAACCGCTCTTTGTCACCCCCACCCTCCACTGCTCCATCAGAGAATGAACTTTTAGCTACTTCTGGAACTCGCTCCTTAATTCCTTCTGCCTTATTCTCCCTGCTCTCCTTTGCATCCTGCAATGCTCATGATCCCACTCCAATCTCTCTGAAGTGCTTTGAGACATTTCCTTATGTGAAAAGTATTGTATATGTTGTTGGTTTTTACTCAGAATTTTCTTTTTTGATTATTTACTTTGCTTATTTTACTCTCACTTTTGCATATAAGGGGAACAGTATTTGGCGGATGGGAATAAACTACTTTAATGCTAAAGTATTCCATCAGCAATGGCAGATAATATGCTAACAATGTCCTCTCTTTGATGAGAGCTTTTCCAGTGTAGGCAGCCAAAAATCAACCTCCTGGAGCCTCTTTATGTTGGGTCTCCCAGCCAGAACAAAAGCTTCTGAAGTAGTAACTCCTGTAGTATTGTACCTCTGACTTCATCCTTCTCTCATTAGTCTGGGATTGGGAGGAGATTGGATACATGGATACTGACATGAAGCTCATAGATTCAACAACAACAACTTGTACTTATATAGTGCCCTTCACAAAGGGTAGCGTTTCAGAGCCTGACTCCAAGCCGGGGGGAAGAAGGTTTTCAGGCGGAGCTTTAAATGGGAGAGAGGGAGGGGGCAAGGCGGAGGGATTGAGGGACCGTGTTACAGAGTTTCGGGGCGTAGTGGCTGAAAGTGCGACCTCCAATAGTTGGGCAGAAAGTGCAAGAGACAATCAGGAGGTCGGTGCCAGTGGAGCAGAGGTGCCAGGTGGTGGATTCGGGAGTGAGGAGTTCAGAGAGGTAGGGAGGTGCCAGAGAGTGAAGGGGGTGGGGACTGGATACTTGGACACTGACATTAAACTCACAGATTCAACACCAGCAGTTCCTTTGCAGTGAATTCTGACATGAGTTTGTGCCATTGTAAAATGATGGAGATCAAGTGCTTCCAACTGGGAGGAATGGAAATCGGATGCAGACTGGGGGTGCTCTGATCTCATTCAGATGGTTCTTGTTCTTCTTATTGATAGCAAAACACAGTCAAGTTTCCAATGCTTGCCAAGCTGCCCTTGTGACTGCACTTTCTGGAATTACTGGCTCAAACAGTGACTGCAGGCTCGTGGTTCAATGACCCTCAGTCAGAAGCTCTGAAGATGGAAAAATGTAATCTCGACAACTGTGCACTAGGGCAAGTGCTGATTGTGGCAACTATCTCTGTTTTAGGAGAACAATGAAACAATGCACTTTGATAATCATCTAATTTAAGTACATCTACACATATCGGGCATCTATTGTGTTTGATTAAATACCTGGGAGTTTAATGAAAGATAAAAAGAAAATGTTTACACATGCATTCAAATAGTGGTGCACATTTGTATTGAGGTTCTTTAGAAATAATAACAAAATTAAATTTTATAGAGCGCCTTTCACGTCAGGAGGACGTCCCAAAGCGCTGAACAGTCAGAGGTCGGGGCCCGAGCATGGGGGAGGGGTGGTGTAGGTAGGAGGGAAGGCAGAGAGGCGCGAGGGAGACCAAAGCCACAGTCGAAGAGAAGGGTCTTGAGACCGGCCTTGAAGGAGGCAAGGGAGGAAGCGAGGTGAGGGGACTGTGGGATGGAGTTCCAGAGTGTGGGGGTAGAAAGGCTGAAAGCCCAGTCACCGATGGTGGGGCGGGTCGGGCAGGAGACATGGAGCAGATCAGAACCTGATGAGTGGAGGGAGCGGGCAGGTTGGTAGGGAGTCAGCAGGTCGGAGAGGTAGGAGGGGACAAGGCCATGGATGGCCTTAAAGGTGAGGATGAGGATCTTGAACTCAATCCTCTGGGGGATGGGGAGCCAGTGGAGTAGGGCAAGGGTGGGAGTGATGGGGCCGTGGAGCCTGGTATTGAGAGTACGCGAGCTGCAGAGTTTTGGATGATCTGCAGCTTGTGAAGGGAAGAGTTCGGAAGGCCAATGAGGAGGGAGTTCCCGTAATCAAGCCTTGAAGTGACAAAACAAATGGTATTTGAATTTTGATCCAAATAAATAAAATAGAAATTTTGCTCTCGGCAGTATTTTCAATCCTCCGAAGAAGGGTCTTTCAGATCCATGCAAACTGATCAGAAGACTGCAGGCAGTCCCATATCTCTTCGGAAGTGCCATGGAAGCCACCCTCATCAATGTCAATGTAGAATGTCAATGTAGAATACTCTGGAGCCAACTCTTGCCAACCTGCACCTAATACTCTCCAGAATTAGGTAGCAAGGTGCGTCCTTCCCGTGAGAGTGTGCATTCCATTCCAGACACAGCAGAAATGCTCATTGTACATATTTGGAACTCTC